GATATCTAAGGAAGCAATTAGAAAAATGTGTTCAATATGGAGATGGTGTTTTTAAAATTTGATATCTTCATCTTATTGCTTTGTTTACTTTTTTTAGCTTAATTGTTGTTGTAATTATGTTCGTATTATTTAAAAATAACATTTGAATAAGACGTATTTTAAGTTTTGTATTTTGTTCCCTGCATAAAAAATTAAATTTTGGATAACGTGACTCTCATTCATTTTTCAAGCAAAAACTTTTATCAAGAATGCCTTTTTTCGTATGTTTCAAAATAAGGTATGTTTACTCTTACGCAAATTCTTGTGTTTTTGACCCACCCTGTAAAAGAAAATTGAAGTTCATCATGATTATTCGTATTTTCTAAACAAGCAAAAATTGTTTATCAAGAATTCTATACCTAATACCTAATGTACCTGTTTCATTGGATCCAGATAGTGAAAATTTTAGATAAGCATATGATCATATATGTAGCGATAGTGATTAGCTGTTTGAGTTTACTGAGGTCAACGCTGAGAAAGTTAGTTTGGTTTTAAAAAAATTGAAATCTAACGCTACAGGTGCAGACGAAATGAACATAAAAACCTTAGACTTATTTTTTCCACAATTAATTGAGTATTTCACATTTATTATAAATTAATGTCTCACTTCAGAAGAATTTCCCGATATTTGGAAACACGCTTGTATATGTCCTGTTCCTAAAATCATAAATCCCACAAGTCTGTCTTTTAGACTCATCAGTTTATTACCTACACTTTCTAAGGTTTTAGAGAAAATCATATGTGAGCAACTTCTTATTTTACTGCAAATAATATTATACCATTGCAACAATCGGGATTTAAGGCTAACCATAGCACAACTACAGCCCTTTTAGATGTCACAGACAATATACTCCGATCAAATGACAAATATCTTAGCACTTGCTTGATTCTTTTAGATTTAAGCAAGGCCTTTGATACGATGGATCATAATATTTTGCTTAAAAAACTTAAATATTTTGGTATTGGAGGTGTTCCCCAATTATTCTTTAAAAATTATTTATGAAATAGGCCTCAAAAGGTGTTGTGTTGTGGTAAATCTTCAGATTTCACGGTCACAAATAAAGGTGTTCCTCAGGGTAGTGTATTAGGCTCTTTATTATTTTCAGTCTACACTGCAGACTTTTCTACATACCTGTCTAGTTGCAAAATTCACCAGTATGCTGATAATACACAGGTATATTATTCATTTCCATATAATAATATTAATATAGCTATTGATGAAATTTTAGACTTGCGTAAATTTTCACGACTATGTACTGCTCATAAACTTATTTTGAACGAAGCCAAAACGGAATTGCTAGTCTTCGGAAAGAATAGGGAACTAGTAACCCTGCAAAGAATGCGAAAACCTTGGAATATATTTGGATGTTAATTTAAGATTTCAAAAGCATGTAAATAATTTAGTACAAAAGTCGTTCGGGAAATTAAAACTGCTTAATATTCATAAAGATTTACTCAGTACTGATGTGAAACTAAAGTTATGTGATTCGCTAATTTTGTCTCTACTGTGATAGTGTTTTTTGGCCTTGTCTATTAGAATCAGATAAATATACCCTGCAGAAAATACAGAACAGTTGCATCAGATATTGCTTTGGCTTAAGAAAATTTGATCTCATAACTCGGAAGTATGAGCTACATTTGTCTTGCATAGTTTATAAAACTGAAACATTTAAATCTTCTGTTTATTTGTGCAACAGACTAGTAAAAGGCAGTGAAGTACTCAAAAAAATACATCATCACAATCATGTTGAAATTTCTAAGTTTATCAGATTCTTAATATGCGAAAATCTACTAAGGATCCCTTAGACGTCAAACAGTTGATTGCATTTCAGAAACATCATACTCAGAAACCTTCAATACATACGAACTCAAACTTACAAACTCCAAATCCACAAACCCACAAACCTCAAACCGACAATCCCTAAACTCACAAACCCGAACCTGCAAACTTCAAACTTACAAACCCCAAGCCCACCAACTCCAAACCCACAAACCGTGTGGGTAGGAATGTTCGCATATTAAGAAACTGAGAAACTTAAAAATTTCAACATGTGATATCTCAACGAAAAAAAAAAGATATTTGAGCAAACTCAACAGCATTCGAAAGAGGGAGCTTTGTACTTTTAGATTCAATGTATTAGTTTTTTGAAAAAGAATAGATGGCATTATTACATAACCTCAAATATGACGAAAAACAGTGTTTTTTGCACTTTCAGGTTAAGATATCTCAAAAACTTGACGTGATAGAGCAATTCTGCTGCCAGATTCGGATTTAGCGCACCTAAATCCTTCGGAAATATACAGGGTGTATTTAAATGGAGGGGCACAAATGATACCAGAGATTCCTTGGGTGAAAATAAGTCGATTTAATCTAACATACCTATATCCCAAGTCGCTTAATAAAAAAGATACAGGGTGTCAAAGTGAAAAATAAAAAATGGGTTTTCCTTAATAATTTCTATAATTTAGTCAAATGTTTTAAATTTTTAACAGAGAGGTTTTTTAATGATGAGAAAAATAATATAATAATGATTTTTGAGTGTCGAGTACGAGGCGCCCTCTGCAGGCAACGCTATTGATTGAATATGTAGTAACTTTTTTGCCAACCCCCGTATACAGCTTTTAGTTACAAAATATGAAATATTGGACTTTTTTTTAACAAAAAAGGTATACTTATTGAAAATAGCTAAAGCTAACCGTTGAGGAGATATTTTTAATTTCATAAATTAGTGTTAGGGATTTACAGGTATACCTCCACGAATACCAAGGTACAGACAGACACTTTTGTTAATAAATTCAGAACGCATTGCCTCACAGTACTTATTAGTTGTGTATCTGTATTTTAAAATTAGGCCAAAAGGGGGCGCAGGAATGAACTGAGACAACATTATTTTTGCTGTTTTAAATTTATTTTACTTTTTTGCGTATTATTTTAGCATGTGTATTAAAAAACACATTTTCTTGTGCATGTGAAATTATTTAAACCCTGCATTAAAATCTTATATGAAATAACAGTACAAATGAAAAAATAATGCAAAATTCTTATTTATTGTTAGTTTAATAATAATTATTAGAAAAAACAACTAAAATCAAGAGTCACTTAACAACAGTCAATAGATAATTTAAGAGAAACAACTGGCTGACAATAGAAAAAACAAGATTTTTTAAAGGAAGTAATTTCCATTTTTCTGTAAGCTTAGTCTAATTCTAGGATTAAAATTACGACGAACTCTTGAAAAAATATGTGTCATTCTTTACTTCCTCAGCTGCTGCAAAAATTCTTTGACCAAGCATCTCCACACTATCAATAGGGTTGGAATAAACAACATTTTTTAAGTGACCCCATAAAAAATAGTCTCTGGGTGTGAGATCCGGTGATCGCGCAGGCCATTTGACTGGTGCATCGTTCCCTCGACCTATCCATCTCCCAGGAAAATTTAAATTTAACCATTGTCTGACAGCTAATGTACGATGAGCAGGAGCTCCGTCATGTGCGTATCACATAATTTCACGGATAGCTAGTGGCACGTATTCAAGCAATATTGGGAGTTGCTCATTTAAAAATCTCAAATATTCGGCTCCGCCGAGACGCCGAGGAAGAATAAACGAACCAATAAGATAATCTCCTACGATTTCGGCCAATACATTTAAACTAAAATTATGTTGAAATTTGGATGTACTAATATATGAAATTAAAAATATCTCCTCAACGGTTGGCTTTAGCCATTTTCAATAAGTATACCTTTTTTTTAAAAAAAGTCAAATATTTCATATTTTGTTACTACAAGCTGTATACGGTTGGCAAAAAAGTTACTACATATTCAATGCATAATATTGCCTGCAGAGGGCGCCTCGTAATCGACAATAAAAAATCATTATTAAATTACTTTTCCCATCATTAAAAAACCTCTCTGTTGAAAATTTTATATATTTCTGACTAAAATTATAGAAATTATTAAGGAAAAACCATTTTTTATTTTTCACTTTGACACCTTCTATCTTTTTTATTATGCAACTTGGGATATAGGTATGTTAGGGTAAATCGACTTATTTTCACCCAAGGAATCTCTGGTATCATTTGTGCCCTTCCATTTAAATACACCCTGTATATTCAAGTTTCTTCTTAAAAAAAAGTTAATTAATTTTGTTTCTTTTGTACAAATAATGTGAATAAAGACATTTACATAATATTACTATTATTATTATTATTAATGCCTTTTTCGTATCTTTCACTTTTTGGTTCATTTGTCCTTTTGTAACCACAATTCGCGGACATACTGTAAATGAATGATTCGAGGGAAAAAATATTGGACGAAGTACTGTCAATGAGGTGGATAGAATATACGTCCTTTGTCCATAACACGATGAAGATATTACAGAACACGTTTTAAGATATTAAGCAGAATTATTTGACTACCAGTTTCGTGGTCTATATTATGCACCCCATCTTCAGTACATTATATTTAATTTTGATGAACAAGTTTAAGCCAAAATAGCAAAATAAAGGATAATTTGCATATTCATTAATTAACAAATACATTTGGTATAGATACAACAAATACCTACAGAATTGCAAACGATAATTTCCTTAGAAACTGGAATCCTTAAAAATGACCTGAAAATGGGTTGCATAAGACCCCGATACTAGTAGTCAAATAATTATCTGTTAGTAAACAGAAAACAGCAACACGATAAGAACTTGACCCAATTTCCGCCTTAGACGCTACAAATCGTAAATAAGCTAAACGAGGTTCCTGAGTGACACGGCCAGCATCCTGCAGGACCTCCGTGCCGTTACCTTAGAGACCGTCCTGCTCCGGAATCCGGCCCTGCGGGACGGAGACAGAAAATTTATTGGCCAGATTTCCTATTACGACATGATTGATTATGAACTGATAATAGGCTATCGGCGCAGGCGCCTGTTCCGTCTTGTACACTTTAGAGTGGCGTGGATACTTGCCTTCCACTCATAATATTGCCGAAGCCTGTTTATCCGTAATTATTTGTTTCCGAGGGATTGGCACACGCAACCGAGCGTACCGGAAAATTCTTTCGTAGTGCGAAATCCAAAAAATCGTCGTGTACGCGGACCAGTCGAATTTTTGTGTTCCAGTGGACCCGGAATCGGTACGAGACGATGCGGGGGGATTTTTAAATGATGAGGTGTGTGCTGATTTGCCGATGCGTGTCGAAAAATTGCTTGCGCCTTTTTAAACTTGGGCAATATGTGTCAGACCGTTCTAGTTGGGTTTATGTGCTGGAAACATAAATTAAAACAAATATGTCAAGCATAAAGAAAGGATCTACCAGGCGGTCAGAGTAAGTCATGTTCAACAAATTAGAACTTTTTTTTTGTTGTTAAAATTCTAGCTTAGATATTGAATACATTGTTTATTAGGTTTATATATGGATACCATGATTCTTTTTGGAAATCTTGCTTGCAATTGCATTTAAATATTAAGATATAAATACAATTATACCTGTATACTCCGACTTCTGTTACTATGAAAAATTTATGTTTGATAACCATTGCTGCCAGCGACTTCAGACTATCTTTATGGGTCTTTGATGTTACACCAGACTTCAAACCCATATACAGGTTGTTCTTTAAAGTCTATTCGGGTGTTTTATGATACAGGTTTGTTGTTACATTGTATTTAAAATTGCATTTCGTAAAAACATCGTTTTTGTGAACAGTTTTGGAAACATTTATTACATTCATTTTAAATTAAAATGTAATAACAATAATAATTCGAAAATGATTATTTTTTTAAATAATGCAAATATAACCCTTCTGTCTTAGGAAATAAATACTACTACACTCCAATTTCCAAACTATCGGTTTTATTGAAAAATTACAAGAGGTAAAAAGTTTCCTATGAATATTTTTAAATAAATAATTTGCTTCATATAAAAAATTTCTAATGGGGTTGACTGTTTCACTGAAAAAAATATTGAAAAGTTGTCTCTTTATTAGTATGATGCTCATACCAAGTTTCGTGTCTCTAGCATTCCCCACGTAAATGAAAAAAAATAAAATGTGAATTTCAATCCCCTCCTTTAAGAGGGTATATCGTACCTCAATCTTTTTATTTTTGGCTCTACATTCACTGGTACCATTTTTGCTACTTCATTTAAAAACGCCCTGTATAATCGTTAGTCGTAAAAGTAATTTAACGAATAAATAATATCAATTTATTGGAACAATCTGAAGAAATTATTTATTTAAATAAATATATTTAATTGAGTATTTGTAGTTAAGTGGGTAAAATAATGTAGTCGTAAGGGATTGCGCGTGTTTACGTTTCAGCTCGCGGGATGAAATTCGCGTCAATGCTACTGTCAATGCCAATGGCATATTTATTATAAGTATCCGTTGTAATTCCAGATCGATAAGGGTTTAGTAACTTCCTTTCCTTGACACTAGAGTATAAGCAGTCAGTTACCGATCGCTTGGATGTTTTTCTACGCGCAAAAGAAATGTAAATATAAAAATCCTCCAACACAGGTACCTAAATTACATAATGCGCACTGTTACATCATGATTAACAGTATGATTTCTATCCATTAAAATCACTGATATTGACGGCTAACCAAAATCACCATTTTTTAAATACTTAACTGTAGATACTGTTGACATTTTTTCTCAATGTTTTATAAAGTAAGAGCTTTTTGGATTTAAGATAACTGCAAATTTGATTCGGGTAAGAATTGGGCATCTTTAAAATTGACAACGAAAGTTTTCTTTTACAGCTGTTATAATTCAAATGAGATGGTACCGCAAATATGGGATAATACAGGGTGTTTCAATTAAAACTTCCCACTTGAAAAATATCGGAATTAAAAACACACAAAAAAACTGAGACACGTCGATTTTCTTTTCAAAGACACGCGATGGCGTAAGTTTCGGTGTTATGGAAGCTACCTTAGGCAAGTGCGTGAAATACCCTTAAACTTTAAATGGCACCCTATGTTGAATGACACCTCATTTTAAAGCTCTTTCAATTCTGCTCACGACGACATACGGCCTTTTAAATTTTGGTTTGGATATGACAATAGAATTATCACCTAAAGAGTAAGACAAAATATCAGTGAATGAAATAACGTTATTTTATTATGTGTCCAAGTTGGTTTCCCCCCGCTTCCATATAATAATAAAATCTTTGCTCCACTTTCGAACGAACATTTCGGGTGTTATCTGACGACATTCTTCAACAATTTCAAGATAAAAAAAATTGTTTTGGTTTTTCCTTTATCTGTCAATAGAAAAACTTCATACTCTGTCAGTTCAACTGTTTTACCTGTTCTACTTTAAACAAGACAATATAAGACGAGAGGAATTTCTGTATCTAGTTGCCGCCGAATCTTAAAAATTCATAAGTATCACCCATACAAGATTAATTTGGTACAAGAAATTAATGAAGACGATCCTGATCGCCGCTTGCAGTTCTGTGAAGAAACGAGTGATCGTGCTCGAAGGAATCCAAATAATTTGTAATTAGTCTGTTTTTGCGATGAATATACGTTCCAACTGGATGGTCGAGACAACCGCCATAATTGTCGCTACTGGAGTGATGAAAATTTACGCATATTTCATGAAACTCATACGCAGCATCCGAGGAAAATAAACGTTTGGGCGCGCATAGGTAATGGGTGTCCACCTCATAGGGCATTTCTTCCTACCGGGAAATCTGGATGGAAACATTTATCTGAATCTACTGGAAACGAATATATACCCGATGTTTGTGCAATTATTGGAAAATGACAACGCTTTGCCAGAAGAGGATGTGTTGTTTCAATAGGATGGTGCTCCACCACATAATAAGCTGTGCGTGATTTTCTTAATCAGAACTTTCCAAATCACTGGATAGGACGTAGAGGTTCAATTGAATGGCCTCCCAGATCGCCAGATCTAACATCCTTAGACTTTTTTCTATGGGGAAGTGAAAACACTTAAGGAGTTTCGTCGACGAATTGTTGAACAATGTCGTCAGATAAAGCCAATCTTCGTGCGGAAGTGGAGCAAAGATTTTATTATTGTATGGAAGCGTAGGGAAACCAATCTGAAGACTTAATTTCTTTCATTCATTGATATTTTGTCTTATTCTTTAAGTGATGATTTTATTGTCATATCCAAACCAAAAATTTAAAAAGTCGTATGTCGTCGTGAGCAGAATTGAAAAAGTTTTAAAATGAGGTGTCACTCAACATAGGGTGCCATTTAAAGTTTAAGGGTATTTTACACCCATGCCTAAGGGGTAGCTTCCAACACGTCAAAACTTACGCCATCGCCTGTTTCCCTTGACAAGAAAATCGACGTGTCGCAGTTTTTTTTGTTTTTTAATTCCAATATTTTTTAATTGAAACGCCCTGTATATGAATTGTAGTCATTCATTGTAGTGGACTGAGATAAATTTTGTAGAACTCATTTAGTTTCGTTTGCCGTCTTGCTACTTATCCAAAATCTTTGAACTTTTTTAAGGCATCATGAATGTTGAAACTGACATTGTCAGACTTTAATTTGACATTGGGAATAGTACATCATGGAAATGATTTTCCCTATGAATTGATTACGAGGAAAGTAACCAGAGATCGGTTAGAAGGTTATTCCATATCTGCTTTATTCTCCTGGTATTCCTGGTCTTGCCCCATCAGATTTCCATCTCTTCTCTATGGAAAAACCTTCAAGGAATATCACCGTCGCTCTTTAAAATTGACTTAGTAAATTTTTCGTTTAGTTAGAGATTATACCGGATTTCTTTAGGCGTAGAATGGAAAAACTAATAGTATATTGGGCGGCAATCTTAAACAATGGTGGAGAATATGTCCTTGATTAGTTCTCGTGTTTTGTTTCTTAATCAAACATAAATTTTGAGTGCAATAAAAACGCTACTTTATTTATTAACCCAATTTTACATCTCAATATTTTTAAATATGTTTTATAACGATTACTAAAATACAGGCTGATTAAAACATTTTGACATTTATTATTTTTTTTATAAAACAACCATTAGTTTGTTTGGTTGCAGTGAAATAAATATCGGGCAAGCTTAGGTGACATCCAAAGTAACCCCATTAAGTACAAAAATGTCACATGTTGTGGGAGATTATTCTTCATGGACAAAATATCAAGTTTCTTTGGGCTGCAGCTTCTTTTGTCTGATGTCAACCTACACAGGGTATATTAAACAAATCTCCACATCGTCGATATAAAGCGACTTTATTAGGAAACGTAACCCCGAAAGAAGTTTAGTTTAGAAAAGCAAATGAAGAGTAGTCGAAATCATAGATAATATGTATAAAGTTATATTTTCCTTATAGAAAAGCGACATCTTATACTTATCTTATTTCGCATCAAAACGTACTTACCAACTTTTATAGCTTAGTTTTTTTGAGAAACATGTTGTTTTTCGGTAGGAGTTTCAAGATTAATAAAAATTTGAAAATTTGTATGCCAAAATGGTAGGGTTTGTGATTTGATTAGAAAACTGACCTTATTTAATATAGGTATCTTACTACAAGCTGCACATTTTTGTTCCAATAATATCGCCATTATTTTTCATAACTTTAACAGGGTTTAAAGTTTCTCAGAAATTACGATATTCCAAAATTTTACGTTATAAATATGGAAGTAGCCTCAAGAAAGTTAGTTTTACATTTCAAATTATCTAATTTGACTAAAATTAACAATTATTATTCATTATTACTAGTTGGGCATATTTTTACCAATTTTACTTTTTAAATTTGCCCTATTGCGTTTTACGTAATAACTTTTCCTGTTTGGTTTTATTTTTGTTCGTATGTTCTTAAGTTCACATCGATAGTTATAAAGGAGAATGGAAGCACGAGGAAATGTGTTTTTATATAATATTTCCAAAGATAGGTCGGCTATTAAAAGAATGTTATTTAATTCTGACAAACGTCTACAAATAAATATTACATACACTACATATACTTATAGTCCGAGAGCCCGCAGCACATTTTAGTGACCAATAGTAACAAGAATGATTTTCATCCATATGTAAGGTCTTATGGTACATAAGCGAAACGACCTTCAGCTGTCGCTCTTCGGGTGGAGGTGGAAGTAATAAAGAAATATGTTAAAAACAATTAATAGTACCAAAGTTGAAATTCTTTGTACACCTACTTTGTATATAATAATAAATGATAAAAAATCACGTTCAGCTGCGCGTATAAATAGGTACGAAAATCATATTAAAAACATTTTTAGTAGGTACCAAATGTGAAATTGACTTTACTATATAATATAATCCAATAAAGCTAATAGGGGCCGCAAAAAAAATTCACAACACACTTGA